GAGTGGTTGGTATAGGAGTGGTAGGTATTAAATAAAGATCATAATATATTTGATTTAATCTAGATTGAAGGTGTTTTAGACGGGATTCGAAATTGTTTATTTCGTTATACCTTTCTTCTATATATTTCCAATTTTGATTAATCATTCATTTGAAGAATCTATTTGAATTGACTTTAACTTGAATTTTGTTACTCATAATTGATCTTTGAAATTATTTAATTCAGATATAACGTCTGATCTGGTAGGACTATATTCTCCCGAATCATTTTCTTGATAGATAGGTTTTGGAATATTTGTATTTAAATCTACATATCTTAAAGATTTAGATTTTGGGATTAGAGGTGTTTTCATATCAACATTACTGGTTGACCCTGTAGAAAACCTAGAAGGARCAAATGGAAAAGATTCAAAATTTATATCTATTGAACCATCATCATGTTCTATAATTCTTGATTGTTGATTAGAATTATCTAATTGTTTAGGTGGATGTATATTTTAAAGATTCCAGTTGCAAGATTGAGTAATTTCATTCCATTTTAGACGCTTTGGAATTTGAACTTTAGTGTGTAGGGGATTTGATTCAAATATTATAGTTTCATTTCTTGGACTCGCTAATTTAGTTTTTGGTTCAATTGTTGTAGACATAGTTTTATAGCATACTCGATATATGGCTGCAGCAGCCTGAGTGCTTTCAGAAAATTCTAAATTTTTTGTCTTGATTGTTAAAACTAAAGTATCTAGAATATTTGGATCAAATAATCCTACCGAGAAATTGGGATAACAATTAAAGTAAATTGGACCATTAGATATATTAGTTTCAGCTATTGCTAATATTGAATTTTTGAAATTTGTATGCCTAGCATCTCTTATGATTAACAAGACAGGAGCATCTATGCCTAATCTAAAGAGTGGCTTAATTGCTACTTGAACTAATCCAACATGTAAATATTTATATTTTTTTCCTATGTTGAATTATAGCAGTTTTTGATAATAGATGAAGATTTTCATAATCTTTATTGATTGATAAAGTTTGTTCAGTTGTTTTAATAGAATAACTTTGAAGAAAATCGAAATGACCTATTTTATAAATGGTTTTAACATTTTGTTTTGGAATTGTTCAGTCTGATAAACTTTGTTCTATATCACTAATTTGAATTTCGGATGAATTTAAATGAAGATCTTGTTCTTCATAGATTTCTTCACCAGAAGTATGTTTCATAGAAAATAAATCCATTATTCTATTTATATGAATTCACTTGTACTAAGATTTGAATATCGTTCTTCTAAGAAAACAAGATTTTTCTAATAATTTTTGGGCTATCAGCTTTCTTATGGACTGGTCCGGTTGCACGTCCAAGCAATTCATGTTCTCTCTACTCAAGATTGGGGATCTCAACTTTATTACAGCAAGCCTTTACAGAATTTTAGCCAGTACCCATCCTACAACTATTATGATTATCAAGACGCATGGTACAATTTCTTGTATCTAAGAAGTTATACGCACTCATGGTTTTTATACTTTGACAAAAATTTTGATTGCACTTATCCAAGATGGTTTGTTAGATGGTTCAAATTTTTGGGAAATATTCCTCAAACCCTTCCTCCAAGAGTAATGGAATGATTCAAAAAATTTCAAGAAATCTTTGTTCAAGAAATTACCGAATTTGAGTTTCTTCTTCAATTTACGGTAATATTCAAAGTACCATGGATTTTATCATGGACCTTCAAAGTTATTGATGCAACCGGTTTTTCCCCTCCATTACTACAAAGGATTTCTAGAGTAAAATAGTGGGAAAAGCTTCCAACTGATTAAATGCAAAAAATGACTGTTCAAGGAGTTTCAGACTATTATTCAATTACTTTTGGAGTTCCAGCCTCAATCTCATCTACTTCAAATCAGAAGAAAGAAGACGAAGAAATTGATCAAATTTTAGCCACTGAATCAAAAGAAGAACTCAAGCGACTTCTTCAAGAACTTAGACGTCGGAGCTCTCCATCAAGCAGCTTTCCCGCTAGTTCTACGTCTCAAGTCCCAGCTTCTCAAAATTTATTTCAAGATAGTCAAGACCCTTATGAGGATTATTTTTAATCTTTCAGGTGTTGAGTGTGTTTGGGTATTGCTTTTGCAAGCAATTCTTTGTATCTATTCAAAATATATCTTATCAAAACACGCGAAATACGCCCTTTGGTATTTCCGATAACATCTTGTTCAAATCTTTTATCTTATCAAAAATATACAGATTTATGATGCGGTCAGCTGAATTTCAAGGTGATAATAATGCTCAAGRTGATAATAATGCTCTTTGTCATTATAAAAGATGTTGTTGCTTTATGAAGAATAGACGTTATGGTCATGCTTTATGCAAAGTATGAAGAATAGACGTTATGGTCAAGACATTATGATCAAAAGCAGATTCGATATGTTGGATCCATTAAGACAACGACAAAATAGGATGATTGATTCAATTTGTCAGACAAATTCCAATTATTCAACATCAAGGCAAGGTGCCGGTTTCAAGCTCAAAATTTTGGAAGATAACTGGAAGGTGTCAGTCATTCAATTCCAAACTTCAACTATAAAAGACGATCAAAACTCTACAACAAGATCATCGATTCCTTTCTCAGAAAATACTCKTTTCCTCTCATAAAATCTTAGTGTTAGAAATTTTAGTATGTTATGTCAAAAAAACCCTCTCTCAAATTCTCAATGTTCCAAATCTTTAGATTTTAATCTTACCATTGCTCCTGATGTATGCTCAAATTGTCTCGACAACAATTGTATTCAAGATTGTTTAATCAATAAAGGTATCTTTTGATCATTATGCTTACTATTTTCAATACTATATCACTAATTTGTGTTTAATTTCATTTATGATGAACGGTCCTATCCGAATATATATATATATATATATATATATATATATATATACACACACTTGGGATCATGTGAGACCAGCCTGTTTTCGTGAGACCCGTGAGACCAACATTTTACACTTGAAACTTCACAGGAAAATGCTGTTAAGGTGACTTTTTAAAACCTTCACAGTGTTTTTGCTGTGAAGGTTCGACTTTTTTTAAACCTTCACAGTGTTTTTGCTGTGAAGGTTACGTGTAAAAATGTGGTCTCACGGGTCTCACGAAAACAGGCTGGTCTCACGTGAACCCAACCCTATATATATATATATATATATACATACATACATATATATATATATATATATATACATACATATATATATATACATATATATACATACATACATATATATATACATACATATATATATATATATATATATATATATATATAATGGTTGGGTTTGAGGTAATGCAATTATATTCATGGTACCAAAGTTAGCATTCCTAAGGAGTATTGGATAAACAAAACTCCATCTACAAACTTCTAATTAACCATACAAGACAACTACGATATTATCCCGAATGACTCCCAACCTCATTACAGAAATCTGTTAACTCGGTTTTTCTTCAGGCACGTACCAACCTTTCCTGAACTACATCATCAGTGACAGCGTCACATGGTGCACTCGTTCATTCCGGCTCCATTTTCTTTTCTTTTTTTGGTGATCATGGGTGTCTATGCCTGGACTAATGCATAGGCCTTGAAAATCCCACACCCAGAAAAATCATCAGTTTCCAGAGGACACCTAAAATGGTGACCTATTGCACTGTATAGTTCTCTTTTTTACATCATCACGTCCACATGTAAATTACGGAACTTGCATAGACTGAGAACTCTACAAGGCAATGGATTATGCTATAACAAGTAATTCGGCTTGTTTCTATGTTACATAAAGTGATGAAACACAAAGGGTTAGCCATAGTTTAACTTACACAAAGGTGGCCCAAAAAGAAGTTTGATGATATCATGAGAGTTGTTCTGATTGGTGAACAACTTCTTTCTTCTGCTGCTTGCCCGGGGCTATAGGGAAGAGTAAGCAATTCAACTGGCTCTCAACACTATACTCCGAAGATGCCTGCAATCCCACCAAGAAGTTAGTAGTTGTATAATTGTAATTCACCAGGATCACAAGGCTGATGATGCTTATGTCCATTGTTGGATTTTGAATATGGATGTAAACTCCGGCTGAACCGCAACCAGGTTAGGCATTAACTGGTCTTTTGATCAGGACCGGACACAGTCCAGGCCTCCAAGGCCATGTAACCATCTTTTGTACTGGAAAACATGTCAACATGCACTTAAAGATTTTTTTAACGACTTGAATTCATCCATGAAATTCCATGGCAGATTATGGGTACGCTTTACATGATGATAGCAAGACATTGACATAATTTATATTGTGGAATGTTGGTTCTAAAAAAACAGAGCACACAAGTGTAGCAGAAATAAATGGCGAACACACAAGTATGGTATGATTAGGAAAGTTTTGTTCTATTTTTCATGTCTAATATTGTATTACTTGTATAGTTTGTATGACGCTTAACTGTATACTATTCTTGGTTTTTCTTCTTGTACTAGCCATTGTCAGAATTGCGCTTTGTGTTTCCTTTATTTTTTAGTGTACATGATGCTTGTTTTCACACACTCTCACACGTAGTCTGCTCTCTTGTTTCTTTTAACTTCTGTTTTGCAAGTCAGAGGTCTTCACGGATACAACCTCCTTACCCCTTGGGGAAGAGGAAAGATATCCTATCCCCAAGACCCTACCTGTATGTGGGATTTACTGAGTTCGTTTGGTTTGGTTATATCATAGATAAGGTGGGGTCGCTTATGATGGTTAGGTCATCTCAAGTTTAGACCTTTAGATGCACCAACTAGTGGGAGGGGGGACTTGTATCAACATGAGAGGGTTTTTTTTTATTAACCCAGATATCTAACCCGTTATGCGAGCCAACTAATCCCAGGACAACCACCTGCTTTGCAGGTAGCCCGGAGTCACCGCATTTGAACCTCCGTGGCCACAAAGGAATTTTTGTTCCTCCTTGGATTTGAACCTGGGACCTCCAGGCACTTTTGACCTTTGGAGTCGAGCTCAAACCAATCAGGCATCACCCTTGTGGTTCAATATGAGAGGTTTGTCAACAGAGAGATGGGGTTTTTTGGAATACTTAGAAAGTTTGGCATGATAGCTTTCACATCCTTTGTGAATTAATGATGGTTTTAATTTTAATCCACCTGGCAAATTTGGGATAAAGTAACTTCTATACTAACTTTTGTTCAAGAGAAGTTGGTAATTACCCGATTTTTAAATGCAAACCGCAATGTTTGAACTTGTCTACCAGAACACACTCTCACATCAAATCCAAGGCTGTCCACGCCAATAAGAGCCACCTCCTGTCATTAATAGTAACAAATATTGCATTACTGATTGTCCCCACATGTACAAAAGAATATTAAAATCAGGACAAAACCACCAAATCTTAATATTTAGAAACCAAACCAAATCCCACTCAAAGGTAGGGTGGGGGTAAGATGTACATAGACATGGCCTCCACCTAATAGAGTAGAGCAACCGTTTCCGTGAAAACCCCCGACTTGTGCAAATGTGTGAGCATATAGTGATAAAATAAGAATGTAAGGTAAAGCAAACATGCACACAGCGCAAGACAAGTTACGCAAAAACACATCCCTAGCCTAAATTGCCAACCTTCTACCGCCAACCTCTCCAACTCCCTTCTGCCCAACCACGCTAGCTACAAGTCCCCACATCTAGTCTACTACCCCAATCCTCCATCTCCAACTACTCCTATCTAAGGTCATATCCTCGTATAGGACAATGACCTCAGATATGAATATTTCATGTAATATGAGCATAAACACAAATTTTAATATGAAGATTTCATGTAAATGTGAGCAAAGAATGGTTTTCATTTAAAAATATCAAGAAATTTGTACAATGTTCAAAGACAACACAAGAGAATGAGTAAGCATTACCTCCACTTGAATGCCCTTGCATCTCCAACACAATGATTTAAGAGCTTGTGTTGTCTTGTCTCCACCAGATTTTACCCAAGATAAGATTTTGGCAGCTGAATGTGCAATAGCATCAGGTTGGGACCTGCTAAAATCTTCCACTTCAACGGCAGCCTGTAGAAAATTTACCAAATTATACAAAATATGCCATGTTATTTACTAAATTTGACCACCAACAGGCCTCAACCTTCAAGCAGACGTAAATCCATAAATATATCTAAATTAGACAATTTGGCCATAATACAAACATTTTGAGTACACTTACAATGAAGGGCCACCATTCAATGTTCACATGATATTAAGGATGAGTATGCACAAGTAACTTTCTCAATGGGGGAAGGATAAAGCATTTACTTTAAGAACTATCTACCATAAGTGGATACTTATACAGAACATCTTTAGGTCATCTTGCTATTTTAAAACTTAAGAAGGGTATCATCACACGATCACCATAAAACATCTCAGATGCCTGAATATGAGATCCACTCGTGTGTAGTAAATGGATGCCCACATATAATATAAAACATAGGTTCATGGGTGCTGTAACACTTAAGTATGTGACAAAAAGATGTGATTTATTTATAAATAAATAAATAAAAACTCTTTGCAGACAATGAAGGAAGCAGAAGGCAGAGGATACAATTACATCATGATTATAGAAAATCAGAAATCAGGTCAACAATTTCCTAAAACAAGCTATAACTAATTCTTATATATACCTTAAAATCTTGAGATATATGAGTAGCTCCTGTAGTTTTCATCATGTGAAAAGTTTTTGTCAATCGTAAAGGTGCATRCAGATGCATTACAACCTCTAAAATATCATCCCGGATAAAAAAAGATATGCTGCAAGTCAAAAGAAGATGAACCCAATTGCTCTATATTGATCACCAGGCAATATCCCAAATTACCTGATTTCCATGTGCTGAAATCAATTGCATTTTGATAACCTCTAGCTTATAATATGAATTCCCACTTTCCAAGCTCTGATCCGTCTGCGATTCTTCTTCCAAAATTTTAACATCTTGAGAGGGACCTACTACATGCCCAAGGCCATTAATAACACCTACATCTTCTTCTTTACTTTCAGCAATCTGATTTGCTTCTTCATCATTTGACTGATAGTCAAACATATGCTCGTTGATGATGGAATCCTCTTCAACAAATGCAGGTCTCAGAAGGCCTTGAATAGCAAGACCAGCAGGAGGCTGGTCCATGTAATTAACAGGAACATCTGATACAAACTGAAAAACAGAAAAGGTTTACCCAAAAGCAAGTAAATCCACTATTAGATTGAGATAGACCAAGCGTAAGTGGAGGAAAAATAAAATATTGCAAAATGCATGAATAGGTAACTGCTCGAAATAACCTTAGCAAGAGGTCAAATCCTTTATTTCTCATATAAATCCATATAACTCTTTACATACATAACACTCTGTAACAAATGCTTACCTCTGCTAGCTGTTTAGCAAAATCCATCGGATGGTAAGAACGCATGGTCTCTAACTTTGCCCAGTCACCAAGGGATCCATCAGAGTCCTTATCATCTTCTAGAATTGAAACCCAATCCTGCAACATCCAAGCATGATGAAGAAAAATGTGCACCTACAAATCATCCAACTAAAAGAAAACAAAAGTAAGGCAATGAAGTTATCACCTTTCCATAGTTGTCACTCTCATCATCCTCATCTTGATCGTCATCGTCAACATCACTATCTTCATCCTCAAAACCAGAATCATCCTCTGATTGACCTAATGACTCCATCTCACTGACCATTTCTGTGGTATCTAAGCCTATTATGACTTGCTGCATTCAGATGAGTGGTTAATAAGCTTGAATGAAAAGAAGGGCCAAGTTCAAAAGTTAATCTTTCTGCACCAAGTCATTTACAAATGACTGGTTGCAAAAGACTGCTGCATTCAGATGAGTGTTTAATAAGTTTGAATGAAAAGAAGGGCCAAATTCAAAAGTTAATCCTTCTGCACCAAGTCATTTACTTCTTCCTACTATCCCTATGCCAACTACAAATGACTGGTTGCAGAAGACCGAGTTAGCATGCTATAGACTACCATGAGAAACATATAAAATTCCTCAATGTCTAATGATTGGGAATATAGAAGTGCTGCTCGAAAGAMAAAAGTGAATGGTAAACACTAAGGAGGCATTTGGTTTGATAGAATGTTTTGAGGAATTTGGATTTCATGGAAGAATTTGGAATTGGAAGGATTTGGAATCTTTGGTGTGTTTGGTTTGTAGGATTTATAATGGAATTGAATTCCATTCTCTATAGATAATTTATAAAAAAATTGCAAATAATTATAAAAATAATTACATTACTTGTTATTGATTGATTATTACAAAACGAATGCTTTTAACGAATTTTAGAACATTATTACAAACAAATCCTATGAAATCCCATGAAATACCAACTACCCCCATGGGATTTCTAAATCCAATGTTTGTGGGATTTCATTGAAATCCTGGGATTTCAATTCCAGACTTTCCTTTAAACTAAACAGGGGATTGTAATGGAATACAATTCCAAATCCAGCAAACCAAATGGGCCCTAAGAATCTATGATCATGACGTATATCTTTCTTTGATAATGTCAGCTGTTGAACTATTACCATTAGCCTTACAATAGTTTGTCTACATAAAGCATGAAGGAGGGTAGTAGAAAAGCATGCATTTATTTGAAATAGAATACAAAAATAGACCCAATAGAAGTACCTAAGATATATTTGCGTTATTTTCCGACAAAGTACGATGTTATCTGGCAAAAGGGAAACAGACTTCCACAATAAGATGATATGCCACAGACCATGTTCCTTACCACAAGGTTATCCCCAGAAGCAAGAGTTTGCAGAATGTCTTCATCATTTTTCACTTGGAAATATATACCTGAATGGCAGCAGACCAGGGCATAATTGAGACCAATGAAAGAACTTTTATCAAAACAAAACTACAAAAGATACCAAATAGAAAGATGGACTAGGGAACTTACTTCCATGTTCACCCTTGACATAAGGCAAATCAGGCAAGAAAATATTCTCATAGACTCCGTCACTGACCAGACCTGAGAACATAAGCAACGCTTGGCTGTTTGCCTGAAAATAGCATATCAATTCCCATCTATGATAAAGCAACAGGCTGGATCTGGAAATGTTTTCAAGGGGCACAACAAATGATCTAGTGGGAAGTGGATTGGTTTAGCTGTCAAACAAATTCCTCAAGGCAAAAGTAGTTTGAGTTATAAACCAGAAAATACAAGATAACTTAAGAATTATCTAGGTTGACTCTAAAGAAATAGCAACCTTCAGAGTTGCTTCTAACAGTAGGGGAAAAATCCATCCATTCCTTCTCTCTCTCTCACGCATTAATAAGGGTATCTGCTTGCTGGCAAAACTTAATGAAATATTAAGGTGCAAATTACCAAGTCATTATCAAATTATATCCTCTACATGATACAAGGGTTGTTATTCCAGTAACGATCTCTAACAATTACATATATAAATGAAATACTGTAAGCTCGAATCATGTATGAAATTTGATTAGATAGAACACATCTTGAAAGACCCTCCCTTCATTAGCAAGTAATGATGAATATGAGAAAAATTTGTTCAAGGAAAAACATATTACTTCGAAGGAGTTTCTATTAAACCAACAAGAAAAATAAAAAACTACATCAAGTAGGATGCAAATGTTGTTTCAAAAGTCCAAATAGTGCATTTGGCTCCTTCACTTTGGGACAAAACTAGAAGTCAAAAGACCCACTCGATTTCAGATGGGGAGAGTATCATGGTGGAGGTAAGCCAGATGACAAACACAAAAAATGGAGCATCATAACAGAGATGCCATCGACAATTTTGTAATTGCTTTTAATCATAACAACCTCCATTGAGGCATGTATTTTAGCAAAGATGCTCATTCTTTATATGACCGTGTGCATGACTTTATATGATTGGGTTCTGAAATGGATCATAGCAGGCAAAATTTTGACAAAAATACCTCTCTTACTGAACAACACATATACAACTGTCAAATTAAGCTGCTTTACTATTATGACTAGCATCAAACAGTTTTACAACAAAAAGAGATTGTGTGAAAATTACCTCAATAATAGTCCTACTAGCTTCTGCAGGTCTAAGTATGGCGTATCCATTCTCATCCAATTCTTCACAATCTGAAATGTCCTCAGAGGGATGATATAGCTGAGGTTTCACCTGTTTTACAGGACCAGAAAGCTCTCCAAGAGAAGCCCTAATCCTGCTCTTTATCAAATTATTCCTTCTAGAGAACTTGTTCCTACAATCAATCAACATAAAAAGCAACTTTCAACAAACCATCTCCAAATCCTCAAGCTTTCCTCCATAAAGATTGTCTTAACAATCCCTAATTCCCTACTTATTACCGGTTAAGTGTCCACATAGGTGGTAAGAGCATCTCCAACCCAACACCAATTCACACACCATTATAGTGTTTACTATCCTTTTTAGCATCTTCAATTTGCAACTAACTGTTGAATCGGGTGTTTCCAAAAATAAATATTAATTGATCTTTCTCAACCTCTGTTCGTCAATCACTTCTCTCAATTTGGATATTATCTTTCCAACCCTTTCCAGGTAATTGCCAGTTTGCCACCAACAAAGTGTTAGCTTGATTGCTATTCAAGGATTCTGTCATTCCTTCAAGTGACCGATTCAAAAGAAAATAAAACTGACATTTTGCAAAAGTAATTGCATCAACTATCTATTCTTAAATTCTCATAAGCATACATTGTCTAATGATAATACTTATATAAAATGAACATCCGGTTAATCTCCGGTAGAATGATCAAGAACTATAAAGTAAAACCTAGCTCAACGTTTTTTAGAACATTATCTTCTACTATCAGCTAAAAACTAAAAATAGGTACAGAAATACCAAGAAATAACTCATCATTTGCTAACAGTTGCACACATTATAGCAAGACTAATCTCAAAGAAACATTATACCTACAAAATCTGAATATTTGCAACTACTACGCTTTACATTCCAAGGAAACGCTGTAGTTGCTGAAGATTTCCATGTAGTTATAAATGCTTATGACTTGTTTAAGTAAAAAAACAACAACAAATACGTAGGTAGGTGAATAGTACAAGGGAATGGAGAAGAAGTTGCTTGCGTGAGAATGAAAACGACAGTCCCGTGGAAAGCCGCCGGTGGGGATACGGACGGCGGTCGCCGGTTCAATTACCAGCATATCTGGTCGTCGTCGTCGTCGACGAGCGAGTCCTTTCGTATGGTTCAGTTTAAACTTTATCCGATTAAAAAGGGTTTTCTCGAACATCAATAAAAAAAAATATTAAAATTATAAATCAACTCAAAAATTAATGTAAAGTATTTGACAAATATTTTTAAAAATGAATTTTTATGCATAAAGTACTGCTTATTAATTCATATTGCTTAAAATTTAAAGTTACAAGTAAATTGTATGTAACTACAATTTATTAAATCTTTATGTTTGAATTCGTGTAATTAACTACGGATAAATATAATCAACTACAGAATAAATATCTTATTTTAAATATAAAAATTCTAAAATATAATTAAGATAATTAGTGAGTTAACTACGGGTATATATGATGTTTTCTATGTCGGCTATCTACGAAAATGTTTGGGCAAACATGAGGAAGTAGTACCATTGTCGGAAGTTAAGATAAATGAAAAACTTCGATATGCCGAAGAGCCCGAAAGTATCTTGAAATAGCGGACAGTGAAATTGCGCAATTGAGAGGTAGATTTGGTATTAGTGAAGTGGAAACATCATCACGGGTCAAATTGGAAATGGGAACACAAAGATGAGATGATGACTAAGTACCCTTCATTGTTATTCAAATCATGATTTCGAGGACGAAATCTTAAAAAGGGGCAGGCATTTGTAACATCCAACTTTTTAAAAGTCCATTTAAGTTGCTAAGCATGATTAACTAAGTTAGTATAGTATTTTAGAGATTAGTACTTACTTAAGTTAGATTGGAATATGGACTTCTGGATCGAGTTAGAGGCTGAAATTTTATATTTAAGCTTCTTATATATCAATTAGGAGATCTGGAAAGTTTTGTGCGAAGCGGAGTTGAAACGACCAAGTTACGTATGAGGGACTAAATCCGTCAACTATGGCAAACTAGGTGGAATGTTGACCAAAACAGGTCAAAACCGTGCCTAGCTCTCTAAATCAGTCATATTTTCTCACCTCTAGAACTCTCACACTCAAGGTGCAATTTACACACACTTAAGATTAATCTTTCAATCCTTGATGATCAATGTTAAATTCTTGAGGATTATGTGTTAATTATCAAAGGTATGCTTCTAATTACAAGTAGAAATGTTAATTTAGAGGCTAGGTTCTGCATTTGGAAGATTATAAAAGATAATATTGATTAATGTGTGAATTTGAAGCTAAATTGGGTAAAATCTGCAACATGCAGTGAGTTATAAAGTTGGATTTTGACAGCTTTGATGCTATTGTGTTAAAAATTCATAACAAATCACAGAAAAATCTTAAAAATGTGAGGTTAGTTTCATTAGAAAGCTTTAAGATGATACTTTATTTAGTAATTAGGTCAATGGCTAAATCTGAGTCTAAGTGTGGTAAAACAGGGGTTGAACAGAGGGGTGTACAAGAAAGTGTAAATAGGATAATCAAGATCTAAAGTGTATAACATGAGGTTGGGATATAGTTGGTTATTGATACTTGAAATGTTTACTCCAGGGGCTGTTTTAAGGCTATTTAGAGCATCTGAAGGTTTAATGCTATTGTTAGTTGGAATTGGATGTTACCGCGTTCGGTTGTTTATATTAAGCACTGCGAGTTTATACCGAACTTATACTTATATATAGTATATGTATATGAATTCTTACTGAAAAGTTGCTGATTTTGCATGCGTTATATTGTAAGGTGAGTTTTCCCTAACTTTGTTTTGGTATTTCTTAATCCTTTTACATTGTGGTTGAGTCCGAATCCGAGACTGTTTATTTGGCCTTTTGATAAACCATGATCTACGGGTATTACTTCATGTGATATGTCGTAGCATGGTGTATGTCCACGTATCCCAAGGAGAGGGAGGTTGGGTGTGGCATACCGATTGTTGTATTCACGTATCCCGATTAGTAGGGAGCCGGGTGTGAATACTTTGCATGTGCCCTATAGATGAAGAGAGGTGTGGTGCACATGTATACTCTATTTTGGTAGTGATGTCTTTGGTATTTGATATGTTTTTGGTGCTGTAATTGATCTTAATTATCCTAAAAGTCTTATTAAACACTGTATGTTAAGGATGAAAGATCCAAAGTTTTCTGCTGTGATTAAATGGCCAAGTATGGAAGTCTTTCGGGACCAGAGGCCCTCTGGACGACCAGAGCCTCTGGTTGTATAGACCAGAGCTCTGGACACCAAGTCCTTCAGGACTAGAGGCCCTCTGGACGACCAGAGCCTCTGGTTGTATAGACCAGAGCTCTGGACACCAAGTCCTTCGGGACCAGAGGCCCTCTGGACGACCAGAGTCTCTGGTTGTATAGACCAGAGCTCTGGACTCCAAGTCCTTCGGGACCAGAGGCCCTCTGGACGACCAGAGCCTCTGGTTGTATAGACCAGAGCTCTGGACTCCAAGTCCTTCGGGACCAGAGACCCTCTGGACGACCAGAGCCTCTGGTTGTACTGCGCTCTGGGCGAAATTCTGGCAGATTTTTTTTTGAGTTAACAGTCTAATTCACAAATAAGTGATTCTTTCTGTTTTGTTTCGTCTAATATTTGTATTTGTTGTATATAAAATATATAATTATAAGCTTTGGTATAATCTCGCTAAGCCTTGTCGCTTATTTTTTTAGAATAAAATTTCTTTTCAGGAAGGTCGGTAGGTGTCCAAGGGAAAGATAAAGCAGTTTAGATCTGCTTGTAGGATTCCAGATCCTGGATATCTTTTTGGTACTTGTTGTGCATATATCGTTTTGAGTTGTATCTATGTATATAATACTTTTGGGTAGATATATTTGTATTTTTGGACTGACTTATAGTACCGAAATTGTCGGTTGCAGACAGACTTCGTTATTTTATTTTTGGTGGAAATCTATAACATATATCACGTAATTGCTTGGAGATTGTTTTATGGAAAATCTTTTGGATAAATAGTTTCTTTTTATTAAGAATTAGCGTAACCAATGTTACATTTATGTATGAATTCATGTAACTAACTCCAGATAAACATTTCATTTTAAATATAAAAAATTTAAAATATTATCATTGAGTTATAATATCACACTTAATTATTTTATTTATAAAAAATTATATTATTAAACCAAAAATAAATTACTTCATTGTTAAACTTAAATTAAATTACAATAAGAAAATTGAATTAAAGAAATTACAAAAAAAAAAGAAACTTTTTAAATAGTTAATTTGATACTAATATCGATATAATTTTTTTCAAATTTCGATATATCTTCACTTTTATATTTTATTCAAAAATAATATCATTATCATTTTCTCAAAACCACATAAAATTGTGTTATATCGACATAGACAAAGAATAAAAATAATACATTATATGAGGGATTGAAACACATGATCGCTAAACAATAGACGATAACCCAAGTTAATCCAACTTTCTTTCTGACCTTGAATCCAAACTCAATACCCAATAACCATCTCCATAACTTGGCACAAAAGCATGGCCCCTCACGTTGATTCACCTTGGTGGTGTACCTTTTCTTATAGCCTCCACAAGTGAAGCAACTCAATAAACCTTGAAACTCATGATTTACAGTACTGCAACAAACCCAAATCGAGCATATCCCGTGCACTTATTTATATATCTAAAGAAATAACGTTTTCTCTCTATGCCGAACATTGGAGGCAGGTCAACAATATTGCCTCCAATGTCTAGGTCGAGTTTAATCATTTTGACAATCGAGAAAAGAATAGACTAGAGTTATGCTTGACATGAATTATAGATAAATGTCGTTCTTTTACTGATTTAAGCGAAAATATTCAATTCACTTATAATATAGCTAACGAGTCTATTTAGCATGATTATCATGCTCCCTTGGTTTTTGCCTTCTGATTCAACATGAGATCAGCATTATCGCTCTCGATCTCTAATGTATTTCTTAAATTTTGGTCGTAGGAATAGTGTAGAAGCATAAACAGTAACAAGGGTATTTATAGCCCAGCAACTAGTCTTCACTATGGAGAGGAGCAAAATGAAAGGCGGATATTTGTTCGCTTATATGATGTTTGTTTGACACGTAATTTAATCAAAATCTTTGAGTAAATTAAATGCCTTTGATGACGCGATTCGTAGGCCATAATCAACTTCTATGATATTCTATACTTGTTTTTTTTTTTTATAAAAAAAGTATTTTCTAGTAGTTGCTAACAAGCAAATAGGTAAACTAGACAAACTAGAAATGTACAAGGCTTAGGGCTCTTGAGTTAGGCCCTTAGCCTTCCAAGCCCCTTTTTTTCGTAAGCAAATAAAAAGCAGGGGCTTTTCGTTTGAAAGAGATCTGATCAGTCTTTTTCACACAGGTTTTTTGGGGCTTTTTCAAACAGGTTATTTTCGGACTAGACTTTACTGAACTTTGAAAAAATGTTGGTCTGGTCGTCAATCCCAGACTTGGGCTTACTAGGCCAACCCTTTATGGTTGAGCTTCTTTTGTACATCTCTAAGACAAACTCACAACTCTCAAGTTATTTTTACAACATGCAACCATTTAAACAAAGTTAGATGGAAAGGGAAGTAATGAATAAAAATTCTTGTTCAATGCCATATGCTTTGGGTACGTTTTGGTATATGTGTTATGGGTGTTTATGATTCGTTGCACTGTGTTTTAGAGTCAAAACCACAAACCAAACTATATATAGAGTCTGAGCTTTTTCTCAAACTACAAAAACAAAACTAAAATACGGGTGCAGTGTGGTGCAGTTTGTACTTAACGCTTATAGAAATATGCATTCAACTACACAATATAGTTATAATGGAAAATTCAAAAAAACAAGTTCAATGTTTGATAGTACATACAATATGAAGTTTCAGTACACATAACGTAATAAAATCCAGATGCACACCAAAGTTTAATCAACTTTTAAAACAAAATATGCTCCAAAACCAACACCCGCCCTCCAACTTTCATCAAAATCGTAAGTCCCAAAAATCTATTCAAGATCCACAAACTTCATATATATTTGAAGAGTGAATTGAACACGTGAGTCGTGAAACTATGTGCGGGGCGTAAAAAGTTGGATAGATAAATTAATCAAAAAAAAAAAATATGTGGTAATGGTTTGAACTGTGATCGTGCAAATCAAACCCGCGAACCAAACCGTATAGTGCGATTGAAAGTCAATGAGTGTTGATAGAAAACGAGTATTTTATCGAACAAGAAACTAAATAAAAACATAAAAGAGTTGAATATTGGGTGTTTTAGGGATGAATTTGATTGACTTATTCACAAGGATCACATCCAACCCCTTTTCATTATTCTCAATATAATAATGAATGATGAGGCAAGGTACAAGTGATGGATGCACATGTGAATGAATGATGAGGCAAGGTACAAGTGATAGATGCACATGTGAATGGTGGTAGATTTGATATGAGTAGGCATCACTGTTTCATTTAGAGTGGGAAAGATTTGGTCCATACCAAGTGTAAGTGTTGAAGTGGTAGGGGGGTTGTCTTCCTTTTGTCAACACAAATATTGGGGAAGTGGAAGACACAATTTCACCCCAAACACAATATCACCAAATGCTTTATCAAAAATGCTTTTTTTATTTTTATTTTTATTTTTATTTTAATTATGGAATTAATTTTGTATTTATAATAATAACCATGACATATCCTCCTTTGTTTAGGGACTTTGGTTTGGTAAATCAATCACATTTCATTTCCATCATGTGCATAGATTATTTTATAAACTAATTTTTGTTTTATCCAATAATTTTTTTCTATTATAAAATTAGTAAATAAACTAGTTTATGATCAAGTAAATTTCATTGTGGGTCTATATGGTTTGCTCATAATCTGGATGCGGTTACTCTTTCAAAATAAGATGGGTTCCTTGTACTAGCTCTGTTAAGTAAACCTCCATTATGTGCGAACTATGAGTTCTTGTGCCTGAATGTGTGCATTCGAGAGCCTAGAAAGAACACAATATAAAGGGTGGTGGCCATATTTATTTTTACCTTCTTTCGAGGTAGCAGGCTTGTGATCATAAGAAAAAAACAGTAATGAACAAAACCTCATGAAAGAATTCTTGAAAAACTGGTTTAGATTTTCAAAAACTTGAGTTACGGTCACTGGAGGAAGGGTTGGAGATTTGAAAAGAACTTCAAATCTGGTCCAGATTTGAGAAACCTCGTCAATTACTAGATTCAAAACATTTAGGGTGTGTTTGGTTTGCATGATTGTTTTTTAGAGATTTGGATTTTATGGAGAGATTTGGATTGGATTTGATTTAGAATCCTTTGTTGTGTTTGGTTTGTAGGATTTTGGAATGGATTTGAAATCCAATCATTTATAAATTATGTTTGGTTTGTAGGATTTAGATTGGGATTAAAAAAATTGTTATTATTTTGTTTGTTAAATAAAGAAACACACAAACTTTATTAGACCCTTTTCAAGATCTGGTGACTGTACAAATCTATGGATTTTGACCCAACTACTTCCATTGAAATTGCATCCAAATAAAGAGATAAATCCAACCTAATTTTGTTTGCATAGATCACACCCTCGATTAATCCACCATTGTTGAAGCAACCGTGATTTGATTCGCTAATTTTGCGAATTGCCCTTTAGCTGGACCACCATGTAGTTAATTTTCCCCAAAAGGGTGATTCAGTTGTTTCACGGTAGATTCGTCATCGTCGCCGCCGACGAAAATTACAGTGCGGCATCACGAGCACCACGATCTCTGCTGGAAACTGGAGCGTCAATTGAAAAACATGCTTTCCCAGCGGCGGAATTGGCGATTTCGACAGCTAATGAAGGTTTGGAATGGTTATGTTGACGAGGATTCCGTTAGGTGAGATACCAGAGAGGTTCTTTGAGTTTCATTCTTGCAAACGCATTCCCAGGCGGGATATTTAACGCGTTAAACATCAAAGGTTGGGTGGAGGAGGACATGGTAGACGTCAGAGGGGTAACCGACGATAGAGAAAACGACGTCTGATTGGGAATCGATGGCGTGGTGAGAAGAATCCCAATTCACTTCGAAAAGGGATTGTGCTTTGAATTGGGTACAAGTGAAGACGGTGAGAGTGTAGTCAGCTTTGATTAGGTGAGAGCACATAGATTGGCCCATGATGCCAGTGTTAATCCATCCGAGATGGGTGTTTGATGGAGTGATGGTTTTGGCGATGGTGGCCATGGTGTAGTAGAGGCGGGCGATGGTGGAGTTATGGAGGAGGAAAGCACCAACGGGGAGGGGAGCATGGACTTCGTTTTTGTTCAAAGCCAGAGGGAAGGAAGCGATGCGACAATTAGGCAGGAAGCAACTTTTTGAAATCCCACAGGATTTGGATTTGGATTTGGATTTGAAATACCAACCTCTTCCAAAGGATTTCCAGATCCATCAATCATGAGATTTCAAAAGAATCATTGGATTTCAAGTCCTAACAATCTTGCAAACCAAACACTAGGTTGGAATGGATTCCAAATCCAAATCCCTCAAATTCCATTTCATTCATGCAAACCAAACAACCCCTTAAGGTTGAAGATTGATGGAAGAGGGAGAGAGGTTCGGTTTGGGTTGTAGGTGTGAGAAAGGGTTGTGCGTTGGAGATTGATGGAGGAGGTCGTTGTATGAGATGGTGGAGTTCAGGGGTTTACTTCTGTTTGCTGAGGGGAAGGTTCCATCGAGGAGGAACGAAGTTGGTCAATAAAGGGAAGGGAGCCATAGAGTCGAGGTCGTTGTTGCGGGGAGGGAGAGATGGTAGGGGAAACATTAGCTAGAGATAGGGTGGGACGTCGACAACGAAGAGGGGAGGAAAGGACATCGATGTGGGGTCTTTAGCCATTATATAGATATATAATCTTTAAAATAATATATAATATATTATTATCATAGAAAAAAATAAAAGAAGGGTAAAAAGACCAAATTGCCCTTAATTAACAGATGAGAGTTAATTTCATTAACAACAGGAATTCACCTTATAACGAAATGTGAACCGAAAAGGTGTTGAATATCATATTTTTAAAAGAGGGATGACATATGGATTATGAAGAAAGCACATAGATGAAGATCAAGGGTGTAATTTACTCGTATAATTATCTACATAAACTTAATGGTATATGCTTTTCTAGAAGTTCCCTTTCAAGTTAGGGTAGCCTCACAATGTGGGCCTAACCAGACAAAGGATCTTTTTGGGCCATTCACATTTAGAAAATGGAAATTTCAAGACCAATGCAAATGTTCATTCTTTTGGCACGTGGACCCCACCCCCACTCTTTTTTTCACGATATTTGGCTATTAGATTTCCTCCCAAATTAAATTAAATAAATCCTGTATTATTTGTTTTCCTTTTAATAGTTCTATTAGGAAGTGGTCTCTGAATTGTTAAAAAGTGAATTTTGTTTGACAAAAGAAAAATCTGTTTTTTAATGGTTCTAAAAATCCTCTGAATGATTTTGCATCATGGGGTCCCCCTTAACTATTCAACACCCTAATTTCATTGTAAGCAACTAAAAATTGAAATAGATATAAACACAAGAGTGGTGTCTAATTGGTTTGAGCTTAGCTTCAAAGGTCAAAAGTATCAGGAGGTCTCAGGTTCAAATTCAAGGAGGAATAAAAATCCCCTTGTGGCTACGGAGGTTCAAATGCGGTGACTCCGAGCTAGAGATGGCCATTTGTAACCGGCCCGGCCCGTAACCGACGGAGGCCCGGAACCGAGCCCGACGCATAACCGTAACCGACCGGGACCGGCCATAACCGGTGGTTACGAACCGGTTAGGGTAATTTACGATTTTTTGGACCGGAACCGGTTACGCAACCGGTTATGGGCCCGGCCCGGTCAACGAAAAAGTCAAAGTTACCGTTAGAAAGTCAAAGTTACCGTTAGAAAGTCAAACTAGCCGTTAGTTACCGTTAGTTACCGTTATGACCGTTTTTTTCATCTTCTTAGCTACCAAAACATGTATAAATAGAGATGGAAGTTCCTTAGTTAGTTACCAACAATTCTCATCTTCAAAAACGCAAAAAACGCTCTCAATGCTCGACATCGATGACCTTGAAGACAATGAGGCTATTAGAAGAATTCAAGAGACCGGAACTCTTCAAGTCAATYCGACATGGGATACCGATGAAGATTGATAGATAAATGTATTTTATTAGCATTTTGTAAAACAATGCCACTTTAATCATAATAAAAYGTACTTTTAAAGTGTATTTGAGTAAACCGTATTTTTAAAATGTATTCTTAAATGTATTATGTATATAACAAAACGTATTTATAAAATTAAACGTATATATATAATACATAACAAAACGTATTTATAATAAAACATATTTATAATAAAACATATTAAAAATAACATATTTCGAAAATATTAATAACATATTTTTAATTTATTAATTACCAAAAAAATAAAAAAAATAAAAAAATATTTTTTCAAAGGACCGGCCGTAACCGGTTATGGGACCGGAACCGGGACCGGCCGGCCTTAACCGGTTATATGAAAGCTTGACCGGTTATAGTAATTTTCGTCGGGACCGGGACCGGAACCGGGACCGGCCGGCCTTAACCGGTTATATGAAAGCTTGACCGGTTATAGTAATTTTCGGGACCGGGACCAGAACCAGGACCGGTTATAGAGGGACCGGTTATAGCCGGTTTTTGTCACGATTAGGCTCGGCCGTAACCGGTTAAGGCCCGGCCCGGGACCGATTTTTGGCCATCTCTATTCCGAGCTATCTACAAAGCAGGTGGTCGTTCTGAGATTAGTCGGTTCGTGTAGCGGGTTGGATATTCAAGTTAATAAAGAAAATGAAATGGATGCCACTTTGCTATTCACAATGCTAAACCATGTGTCTAAATTACAATGAATCAAGCCTTTTGGTCAAAGCAAATCAAGAGGGGGGAGGCTCCGTTGACATTTGGAACAAAAGTCAAAAAGGAACACAACTTGCATTTCCAATTCCTATATAACACCACTTCTTCACCTTTTACTTTCGGTATATTAAGCATAAAGTCAAAGCCCCACTATTTCTCTCCAAAAAGTCAACCATTTTCCGGCGGGTCCTCCTCCGTTGATCCAATGGATGACGAATGGGATTTGTATGCGGTGGTTAGAAGCTGCACCACCAATTCCACCGACGCTGCCACCTCCGGTAACGTTACCGTTGATGACTACGAGGATGGATACGATTATAACATGGAAACTGTAGCAGACATGATCAACCCATATTCATACTCGAATTCCGGCGATAACCCATCGGAGGGATTAGAGGAAGTGTACAAAGAAGGTTGTTCTCAGCGGCTGCCGACCACCACAACCACCACCATCACCACCACCACCACCACCACCGGAGGATTCTTTGATGAACAAGAACAACCGTCGGTTTCGTTTGATGCTTCTGATCATTCACTTTCCAATGAGAGTCCCAGTAAAAAAAGGTATATATTTCCACATATAATTAATCAAGTAATTAATGAAATAATTAATAGTCATTTTTAATATATTAAAATTGAAGGAAAAACCAGCAGAAGAAGATGGTGGTTGAATTGACACAAGAAGAATTATGTAATGATACATGGGCATGGAGGAAGTATGGTCAGAAACCCATCAAAGGCTCTCCTTTTCCTAGGTAATTTATAAAACCCTCTGAGTTAATCATGAGTTTTGTTAACCACAAGAGTTATGTTTGATTGGTTTGAGCTTCGACTCCAAAGATCAAAAGTGTCTGGAGGTCCTAAGTTCGAATCCAAGGAGGAATAAAAAAATCTCCTTGTGGTTACGGAGGTTCAAATGTAGTGACTCCAGGCTACCTGCAAAGCGGGTGTCGCCCTTGGATTAGTCGGCTCGCATAGCGGGTTGGATATCCAGGTTAATAAAAAAACCCTCTTTTTTTATTTTTATTTTATTAAAATATTAATAACTAATTAATTTAATAACTATTATAAAACTTCAAAACTAATTTGAATTATCATTTGTGGGTCCTACATATAATTTTCAATAATATAAAAAAATTGAAAAAAACTAACAAAATACCATTTAATAGAAAATCAAGATAAAAATCGAAGTTATTAGATGTAGTTTTTATAAATCACTACACTTTTTTGCTTATAAGAATACGATCTTATGTAACTCGATATCTATTTACAAACCCTCTGGATGATAATTGGTAGATGATTTATACGGGTGTTGTTGTTTGAACCTTTTTTTGAGTCAAATGTGATCATTAAAAATGTAAAAATAAGAAAAGAAAACTTTTAACGTTAATATGTATGAAATGGGATTTTATAAAGGTACAAGTTCACATAAATTAAAGGTTGATTTAAAATAATATGTTGGTAAAAGGTTTGTGTTTTGTGATCAGAAATTATTACAAGTGTAGTACAACGAAAGCCTGTGGGGCAAGGAAACAAGTGGAGCAGAGCCACATGGACCCCACCGTTTTCATTGTTTCATACTCGGGGGAACACATACACCCTCGACCCACCCATCGAAGTCCTCTCGCCGGCAGCACTAGAAGTAATAAATTCACACCACCACCACCTGACCTTGATGCTGCTGGTGGTGGTGATGGTGGTTTGTAATAATATTTGATACTGATTGTTCCATGTTGAACTACTTAATAGAGAATATTGTGGGGAAAAGGAATGTTGAATAGCCAGCTTTTTTTAGTTTTGAATTCTTTGAGGGGATAAGGAATCATATCGGCAAAACGAATGTCTACAAATAACAATAGAATCACACAAGTACAAAAGGTATACTCGATGATGTTAGGGTGTGTTAACGGAAAAATAAAATACAGTAATAACAATCATTCTAACTGTTAAATTTGATCAAGATTCAGTCGTCTATCTTTATTTGTTTGTTTCACAAAAAACAAGTAGCATGACAATAGATGGTCGATTGGGTCCAAAGATTTATAACATAGGTCAAATTCAATAAGTTTCAAAGAATATAGTATCAATCTTAAACACTTGTTCTAAGAATCCCGTCTAGAGTTGCTTGATCGTTTGCCTGTGTTTTAATTGTTCCCGACCATGTCAATTTATTAGGACAACTAAACTGATAGCTTATGTTTAAGCATTCTTCGTCATTTTAAATGAGTTTTCGGTTAAGAACGTAACTTTAAATTTCTTCCCACAATAGCTATCAAATGACCTTACTCGGGTGCTAAAAAACATGTTATCATAAAACTTTGAAAAAAACATTAAATGTTAGTTCGTAAAAATGATTCTATTGTCCTTCAACGATGAATCATATACATCAGAACAATGGGGTAATATTCGTGACCTCTCAAGATCGGACTGCAATGTGGATAGGTGGGGATTCAGACCGATGAGGGACGTAGGAATTGCCCTTAACTGACAAATAGTTAGGGCAATTTAATTGCGGTTGAACATTCCTCGTTCCTTCAGTTACCAACAAATTAGTTGAAATTATTTATAAGGAATTGAAGTCAATTCCATTCCAAATCCTATAAACCATATTCGTCATCATTCCATCAAACCATCAAACCAAACGACCCCGTTAGAGGAAAAGGGTTTTTGATATTTTTTGATAAATTGGCTAATTATATTATTCAAACAATATAACTAGTCATTTAGAAAAGTAATTATATCAAAATAACACGTTTGACGTGTAATTCAATTGGCAAATAGCAGGGGATTTTACGCAAATACAAGACAGGTCTCCGATTCAATTCCGTGACACTCCTATTAGTCTCAACCATTGAGTGTTCAATCTCGTGGCATCCCTACTAGTCTCAACCGTTGAGTGAGACAAAAAAAAACATCTCCTCAGGCCCCCATATTTGTGCCCTTGAAAGCGGGTTTCATGTGAGATTGATTGAGGTTGTCATTAATCAACTTTTACCCGAATACCAAAATAACATAATATATATAATACATAATTCTCAAGTTTTATACGAATGCATGATGAAATAATGATGGATGATAAGATTATATATTGAAATGTATTATTTATGCATCCGCTTGCTTAAATTTCCTACTTAGATAGTTGGGTGTTAAAACATCATTCACCCAATGCTTTTCAAAAAAAGTACATTCAACCAACATTTTGAGATATCAAAGGGTTTTCAATGCTATCAAAGGTGAGACATGTGTCTAAATTTAATTTATTGTGTATAAATATTATATATTTAAAAAAAAATTAGGATTTAAGAAAATAAAATTGATTAAAATAGTCATTTCACCCATTCAAATTGGTCTCCTAGTCATTTCTCTCTCTGATTTACCTAAATGTTACTACGTCCACAATATTGCAGACCTGGCTAAAAACAGAAAAAAATTATCGGATTCAACCGAAGTTTACAATTGCGACAGCCAAGGTCCACAATTGCAACGGTGCCACTTGCTAAACTGGTGGAATTTGTATTTTTTTTTTGAGTCTTTTAGCCAGGTCCACAATATTGTGGACATAGTGATATTTTGATAAATCCACTAGGAGACCAATTTGAATAGCGCACCGCTAATGGCTTAAAAAAATCTATCAGAATGTCATATACTTGAAATAAATCTGGTAGATGGTGATTCTGTTCCAGATGCAACATGGCCAGCAACCTTAACCAAGAGTGTTCCTGTGATCACTCTATTCAACAACTGCATTCTAGTAATCAAACCAGACCTATCATTGCATTGATGAAAAAGACAGCGATTTCCAAGTATATTAATTTCAAAACAAAATAAAATTATACATCTAACCTTTACAACTATAAAAACCCTAGCCCATCTCCATTTATATCGTCACTTTCCATCAACGGGCACTCGTTAGAATCATGCCCAAACTGCCCACAGCAGGCCACAGAGCAACGCCTTCGCTTCCTTAAAGGATCCGACCTTCTCTCTTTCAGCTTCCCAATAGTTAAAGATTCATGAGGATTCCCAGTAAAGCTTTGAACAATACCATCAGAATCCTCGACTTCTGGAAGAATCAGCGAATCAGGAGGACTATGGTCGTAAGATAGATCGTTAACGCCGTTAGATGGTCCAGGAAATTCCTTCAGACGAGATAACACCAAGTTAATTTGACCACAAGCAAAGTTTAAGCGTTCATCTGTTTCCATGGATTCAGAAACTAGAGTTGAAACCATAGATTGTAACATCTGGATGTTTCCGGTAGGTTGGCCTGATGTAGGAATAAGGAGGGGTTTTGTGTAATTTGAAGGTGGAGAGAAAGAATCACGCCAACGGATGGGTAGGTATTGATATGGGATGTGAAAACAGTTGTTTGTTGATAGAACACGAAGAACGTGTCTACAAAGGATGCCTGAGAATTCAAAATCATGGCAGCTGCAGCTGATGAATTCATCGTGTGGGGCCCAAAGTACTTTGCACCCGCCGTTCATCTCGGTATGGTGTCTGACGATGAAGTAACTCTCATCTACCAATAGGGATGCGTATTGTGGGGCCAACACGAGTTGTTCTTGCAATTTGCAGAAGGCGTATGGGGTAAGAACGGTGGCAGCATGTGACTCTATAGGTGAACCTGTTTTAAGAGATACTTTCTGGTTTCTCCGAATCATCTTCTGTTTTGATGCAGCTTGGTCTTTAGCATCTATAACCGCTGCTACCTGGATACAACAGCATATGAATAAACCAAACCAAATGAGCCCACTATATCCCACCCGGAGGTGGGGTCCAGGTAATGTACACAGACTCAACCTCTACCCAAAAAAGCATACAACAACGTATGAATAAACCAAACCATACCAAACATGCCCAGTATACATTCAAAGATGGGGTTCGGGGGATGTAAGTAGACCTGACCTCTACCCAAAAGAGTATACAACAGCATATGAATAAACGAGCCAGTATATCCCACCCGGAGGTGGGGCCCGGGGGATGTACGCATCCTTGACCTCTACCCAAAAGAATATACAACAGCATATGGACGGAAGCCACAAAAAATATATTGAAAGGCCTAAAGTAGTACAATACCTGCTCCACGAAATTTTCAAGAACGGATTGTGCACTCAGAAACCGTTGGATGAAAACATTTATTGATTCTGGTTGAAAGGTACTTGTCATTCCAGCAAAGAAGTAACATCTCAAGAATGGCAGTGCCCAGAATGTACGTAGTGCATACAAGCTAACAATGTGCTTGTTTCCATGGAGTCCATAGGTATCAACCATCTCTCTCCACCCCAATTCGAATTCGTCAACCGAGTGCAGATTATAGAGTCCATGAAACTCAGCTTTCCACTGATCATATTGTGAGCCAAGAAGTAAAGAAAACCAATCTGAAAACTTTGAAATGATATGCCAAATGCAGAAGGCATGCTTGGTCCTAGGCATTTCAATAGCAAGTGCTTCTTTGAGCCACATGTTTTGGTCAGTCAATATTGTTTCAGGCGCCTTTCCATTCATGAATCCTAAAAACGTCTGTCACAAAAGGATAAAAGATAAAAATAAGAAAGTGGGAGACATATAATACAGTTGAAAAGATTTAGTAAAAGGATGAGAAAGTTTGTTGGTTCTGAAGTTAATCAAAACATTAAGTCATAGATTAGCATCCTGGATCATTAAAGATAATAAAACAACAGACTTGGTTCATCTGTTTTCATAAAGAACCCCCCCCCCCCCCCCAAAAAAAAAGGGGGAAGGGGGCTTCAAAAACGAAATTTTGGAAAGCATGATTTTGCAAGAAACGTTTGGTTCCAAAAGTTAGACATAGATGAAAGAGACTTGACTTATTTTCATGTTGAATTCTCTCTCTGATGGTTGAATGGGCGCTAAACATGCACCTTAAATTCAAAAGAAATTCCATAGTAATGAAATATATAGCAAAGTTTCAAAGGAAAAGCTGGAATTTGAACAGGAAGATATAAAGATTCAACTTACATAACACAAGGCATATGTAGATAGAAAAACCAAGAAAACAGGTTCATACAGATTCTCACCTTTATGGCCCAACAGAAAGACTGCATATTCTCATCCCGTAGAAGCACACAACTAAAGAAGCAGTTTGTCCCATAATTGTCAACTCCAAGCCAAATCCCTAGAAGCATATCATAAGCATCCAATCTATGCGTTGTGTCAAAAACCACAACGTCTCCGAAAGACTCAAAAGAACGAACTGATGAAGCATATGACCAGGCAATGTGCTCCAGACGGTTATTTGCATCTATCTTGAAGTTGTATTTGAAGTTTGGATCTTTATCCTTTTTGTCCTTACACATTTTCAGAAGATCAATAGCATCATTATCATGGTCTACATTTCTGAAAGATTGAAGTAAATTCCTCACATCAATTTCCGTGAATGGTAAACAACCAAGCTTCACGCCTTTCTCTAGTTCCATCAACCTTAGCATCTGTCGTACTGACATTCCAGCCTTTGCATACATACATATTCGGCTTTTGTCATCAGAGGACATGGTGCAGTAAGCAGGAAGCAGTTGCACATCGTGCGACTTCAAGAGCTCGTGGTTGTGGATGTTGCTAAAACCAGTGATACGCCATTCAGGAACATCAAAATCTGCCCTTTTCACAATTCGCATATATGCTTGACATCCACAACGCGATGACTTCCGGTTTCTTTGCACCTTCCCATCCTCTGATGGTTTTATTTGTGGATATCCACCACGGTGGCAGGTGAAATCCCTTCTTGTGATCCCCCTACCTACACCATCTTTACCACGAGTACGATGTCGGCGAATAGAGAAGCCACACTGCTTTGCAAAGCTACAGTAGAACTCATAAGCAGCATCCTGAGATACAAATCTTTGGCCAATAAAAGGCACAAGGTTAACAGAAGTTTGTCGAGACAGGATTGTGTCCTCAGGAATTTCCTCAATGGTGCCAATATCATCTGCTGATAAATCTGTACCGTTTTCGGATGTTTCTTTCAGCACGCTCATTATCTCAGGCATTGATTATGTTGAAAGCAACTTAAAGTACAGTCCCTACACATAAGAAAATTCATATAAGAGTATTAGAAGGTAATAGACTAGGAAAGATGACACAAAAAAGATCCTTGCAGTGGAAGATAATATATCAGCTACTGATCACATCACCTATTCCCTTGTAAGCCTTCATACATGAGGAACCCAGGGGAAGAACAAGAAAAGATGCAAGTAACCTCCCGCCTATTAAGGTCGCAATATGCTTGCGGTTGATTCCATCTCCATCCTTCCACACCACTACGATTCAACAGATATGACAATATAACCACAAAATTCTCCACCACCTTAGGCAAAAAAGCAGATACTCCAACACCCCACTACGTTGATCTTCTCTTTCATCTTTCACAGGTAAAATCACTAAGCTATTAGACTCCAGCATGAAGTTTTAGCAAATGGACATGAAAAGATAACCTTCATACCTTGAGATCAAAATCATATGCTGCCCAAGTATAGGGAGAAAGGAGCAAGGGTTTTACATGACTTGAACGTTAAATAAAGCAACAATGACATTCAAAAACACCATAGAAAAACAATGTGCGTGTGATGATATTAAGTATCCCATATGCATCTTGACCGCCTGTTAGTATAAGCTGCTCATAGAGCTCTAACAGTAAACTTTAACAGTCATTTAAAAAAAAGCCCAAAGAGAGGTTGGCATGTAACTGCAACAAGTGAGTAAACACGAATTATTAAAAAAACCTAGAGAGGGATGAATAAGTTATTTAATTTTTCTTTTTAATTCTTGACGAGATTTTGTTTGCAGAAATGAAAATACAATCAACACATAATCACAATGCAAATCATGCAAAAAAATGAAGAGTTGAGTGATAGAAAGATTTGCACCGTGATTGGTTCGAACAACTTGTCCTACACCCACTCCTCGAACAATCTTGAAAGGCTAATCCACTAGATAAACAACCATTTATGGCCGAACGATGGTTTTTAAAAGTGATTACTCTCACTCAACTCATGCTACGGCAAGTTGACAAACAATGTCAAATGGAACCATCTAATACATAGTCCACCACTAAGATTTTTATAATTATCAATCTATACACAATATATGTTCAGTTGATCTAAAACAACCACTAGTTGTTTACTACAGTATGAAATCATATTTGCTATCTAGTATGTTCTTCAATGATACAATTTTTATGTGTCAAGATAACTTGGTTATGATGATTTATGCTATACTATTAAATCATATGTTATTCATCATCCTATTGCATGATGGCACACCATGTGCTCCAAAAGGCTTAGATCTCATACTAGATCTCATACGTCTTATTTTAAACGTGTCAACTTTTATGACATGTATGAATTTAAAGCATAACATACATGTCTTGAATTATGTAGTCTGACTTATGCTTAAAATCAATTACTTATGTCCAATTGGTATGAGAAATCATTCATGAATCATGCATGTTCTATTGTCCAATTTTCTTGTGCCAAATCATTATTTCTTATTTCAAAAATTCATAGCACCTACTTGACGGATTTGGGTTACATATTTCTATTCAACAAGATTTGAACATCTTGATATTTACTTTCCTCGTACCTCATAATTAACATTTTGTCCATGTGGTTTGTTGAAACTCTGGATTTCGTCCCTTAACTTCATTTATTACATTTATATACTTACTGTTAGCATTTCATTTTGGTTTTCATCCCTCCTCCTAACGGCCATTTATCTTCTATCCATTAAGTGCCCTCATGTGCCCCTCACATGAGGGCAGTTTCGTCAGGTTCCTTCTTATAAATATCGTGGCATCATCAAGAACGTCGAAAACATTCAAGAGATATGAACATCTATAAGCCCAATAAAAAGATTGGTGCAAATACAAAACCAAACAAGATGAATATACACAACAAATTTGTGCAAATTAATTACCCATGCATTCTAAATCAAACTCCAGAAACAGTTGTTTGCTTGTACATTTTACATCATCTACTTGTACTTTCCAACAATCTTTTAGACAAGAAAAAATGGCACAATACAGAGGAGAGCAGTAGGGAAGGAAGGTCACCACAAGAGGCCATGAGATCGGAGGTACAGGAACCTCTGCCTCTACTAGAGCGTTGAAGATTAAGGCAGCAAAGATAAAAGGTAAATCGAAAATCCACTTGCATTAACCGAAATGAAACCACATGATTTTGCAAATATTACTGGTTTGAGGATGCTTACGGAGACGAGGGGTAAATCGAAACCCACTTCCACCACAAACTTTGTAAACTTAAACGTAATGGAACCTGTTGTAAAGCTTTGTAATTTTCTCATTCCCTTATTTATTTATAACACAACCTTTCCGTAACCTTCCTTAAATCTTTTCATAATCTTCCTTAACTTTTTTCATTACCCAACCTTTTTGTAACCTTAAACCTTTCGTAATTCATGACCTTCCTTAGACCTTGCATAAGCATCTTTGTAAAAGTTCCCTATAAAAAGTGTGTAGTCCTTGAACCTGAAGCTCGCGTTTTCTTCCATCCTCATAGCTACCAATGTCACCCCCTTTCACCATCACCTCATCGTCCTTAATTTCATCTAGGAGGGTTTGATTTAGTGTGGTGGTGGTTTGATTTACGATTTAGTTTTTTTCTTAAAATGTTGCATACCTTCCATTGGTTGTGCATATCTTACTTGTAATATGAAAATTATTTTATAAAAAAATGGAAAATATCAAAATGCCCTCACGTAGTCATGTGGGGACACTTAATATGTCACAGATAACGTCCGTAACACAGTGTCACCAATTCTAAGATGAAATGCAAACAGTAAGGTTAGATTTGTAATAAACGAAGCTGAAGAATAAAACCAATAAAACGAACAAACCACAGGGGCACTTTTTGTAATTTACTTAACATTTTTGTTAAGAAAGTAAAACAAATAGATAAAAGAAGTCAAGAATAACAATTTTTGAATTCCACAAAGAAGGAACCATGTCCACTCCATCAACAAACAAAAATTTAATATAGAAAGGAGATGGATGAACACAAAGCCAAAGTTGAACAAGTAAATGACCAAAATCGTTTCTTCTCATATATGGCTCTCAAACTTTTGGGAAATTATGCATATTCAGAGGGTCTTCTATTTGAAGGGGAGGTTATCATCAAACTGGAGTCGAAACATTTATTCAATGATTTAATTATTCTGATATTGATTCATAACTCACTTGGATCGTTTGTTAGTTTAATGTCAATGAAAAGTGAGTGTGGAAACACATTGTACATTGATAAAAGTGGTTTATATGTTTAACTTCATACTTGCTCTTTCCACTCGGACTGCCGTCTTAATCTCCCTTATATTTTTCTAAAAAATAAAGGGAGATGTATTTTTTTTCTGATTTTGACTAGGTTTGTCATCATCAAAGAGAGAGACATTGTTGATGCAAATATGGAACTTTGGATCTTATCCGAACTCATAATTTATACCCTCTTGTTTTAATGATTCACAATCCAGTTCTTTTATTACTAACAAGCATGCATTTCAATTTTTGTAACTTCAGTAGATAGGTTGAGCATAAAAAGAAGTTCTTGATGATTTTATTGATGCTCTGAGATCAACATTGGAAAGCATGCCAAATTTGTCGACATGTGACGAACTTTCAACCAAAGAACATCGAGAATCACTTGGAGTGTTTATCGTAGTAACATAAGTTCAAATGATCTCAAGTCTATATTGGGTCATTAATTACCAAATGATGTAATTTGAAAATAAATTGAATTACTTTCGTGGGATTTAAATTTTGGATAAAATTCAGTTTATACTTGGAAGGACAAAAAATTCAGCCACGGACATCCGTTGACTGCAAATGGTCAGGTTTCAAGAACAGCCTGGCAGGGACGTCCATGATGGCTTGGAAGAACGTTCATGGCATGCAACAACTGTCTATTTGTGTCAGATCAGTAAGATTTCTGCGGAAGACTCATAGTCATAGACGCTCATGCTTGGTTCATGAACATCTGTGGGTAGTCTAGAAATGTTTTCTTCCTTTCAAATACTCTGTTTTGTTGAATAGAGGACTTTCTGAGGACTACATTTTCTATCATCATTACTGGCAATCAATACTCAATATTGAGTATGTTTTAGATCACTTAAGGATACACTATGTATACATGGTAGTGGTAAACTATTATCTAGATGGTTAATTTGACATTATTATCAAACTGCTCTAGCATTAATTGATTGAGAGTTGAGTGATAGTACTCATTTACCTCTTAAGGTAGAAATTAATCAAAGCTTGGACTAGTAGATGGTTCATAGTATGTCCATGATATCCATTTCACTTGCGATCAAATATTTTTCACATCTAAACTAAACCCACAAGGGTTTTCATGCTACACATGTGGCCTCGCAAACTTGGTCAGGAGAACGGAACATGTATGACAAGCACACTGTTATCCACTAGGCACAACACAAAGTAAACCATTCATGGGGCAGGCCACGCAAAAGCATAAGCTTTACTGCAATAACATTATTAAGAGCAGTCAATGGGACTAAAATGAAGTTTGACAGGATCCCGGATTCATGGATCTCTCTGTTCGAGAAAAAAAAAAGAGGATCGAACCATCTCTTCTGACTCTTTTTCAAATTCGATAAATGTTTGTTGTTCGTATATTTCATTAGAGCAAGCACCAGAACATAAAAAGGTAGTAACATTATATTTGTATCTAGAATTTTGTTCATTCTTTGCTGAGGACGCAGCTAGCATCAATAGAAATTACCACGCCACTTGGATTTCAGTAAAGTTTTAACCTTATTGATATCAAGAGATGTTAGCATAAACCAAGTAAAGGGACCGTAGTTTTCAGAATAATCCAACGAATGCAATAGTCAAAACACCGGCTAGCACCACCAAATTGCATTATAGGGTTAAAGTAATGCACTAAAACCGTGGTATAAATAGGCTTCAAAGTTCAAACCCTAACTAATCAATATATCGTTTAACCTCGTCGTTTGATTATATGCAAATTATATAAGTTCGATTCACGAGTTTTTATGACCACATATAGTTCAACTAAGATGCTTCAGTCATCAGCTTTCGAACTGCAATACAAGATATCATAATTTTTTTTCACTAAAAAGGACCAAAATGGGGCACCATGAGTAGGGTTCTAGTGTTGCGATCACATAATTAGACTTAAAGGAAGTTGAAAGGCGTACCAAATGGAAGAAGATTAAGCTTTAAATCGCGTTTCCAACGGGGATCCTTCAGTCTAGACGATCTAAAGCTTCCATGAAAGAGGGGATTTTGGAATTCGGACGGAGCGCCGACCGGATGAAGTTGAAATCATTCCACATCTGCATTTTGAGGAAAAAAGGAATAAAAAACCTACAAAAAGGGGTGTTTGGAAATTATATGCTTAAAATCTTGATAAATAAATTTTTGAGTGAATTTCATTTTTGGTCATTATGCGACCTTTTTTTTTGAAAAAGGCTTGCGCCCCTATATATGTTCTATATTTAGCGGAGCGACTTGCCGAGTCTATAAAGCTTTTGACAACTATGTGGACCGATGGACATACGAGCCTTGATCGTTCAGTTTTGATCTCGAACTACAATATAGGTGGGAAAAGAGATATTCAGAAAAGTCGGATCGCTTAGCCATGCTTCATAATTGGAAAAACGATATCCCCCGAGCCAAGTGGAGCATGCATGAAGAAGTCAGACGCTTCTAAAAACAGGCAGATGAGACCAAATCGATAGACCTAGCTCCGCTGGAGAGGCCTCACCTGACCTAAAAAGTGCTAATTCGGTTCGGATAGACTTCATTCAAAACACACAATGTCGAAAAACTTCCCCTCACTTCTCTATCCATCAATTATAATCTGTTATAATATATAAATAAGAGTACATTTGTAAAAAATGATATATATATATATATACTAGTTGTATACCCGCGCAATGCGGCGGGATGTGAAATTTTGAAATGATATAAATGGGCATATCGATTACAGACAAAAATTTGTATTTGGTTTTATCAGGATATATATATTTGAAAAGATGTAAAAGGTTCTATCAAGATATATATTCAACTTCCCGCGCAATGCGGCATGATGTAAATGTTCTATTATATTCAATTTTTAAATATCATTTTTTTTGAAATAGTTGGTGGTTCACATCTGTATCAAATCTGAAAATGAAAAATTAATGCAATTTCTCATTCAGAAAGTCTAAAATTTATGTTTAAACAAAATATAAATTAGAATCATGTTTTTATCATACACAATCATCATTCAAAACTTCTTGATACACCACATTTGATGTGTAAACTCCTTCCTGGTTGAACTTTTTGGTAGGTTTCACTAATACCTTCGTATTACCATGTGATATCCCTCTGGACAATGCCACGTAAAGTTGGTCGTGCGAGAATACCGATTCTGGTAGATAAACACCTACCACCGGAATTGTTTGTCCTTGAGCTTTATTGATTGTCATGGCAAAACAAAGTCGAACGAGAAATTATTTTCTCTTTGATTTAAAGGGAAACATATCATCGTCAGACGGACATAGAGGAATTCTTGGTAAAAAAACCCTCTTACCAGCATGCTGACCAACAGCTATTTCTGCATTGATAGCATTCTGCTGAAAACCTCTACATATCAACCTCGTGCCGTTACACAATCCATTTGAGGGGTCGATATTCCGCAATAGTATTATCGGACATCCAATTTTAAGCCGGATGTAATGAGGGGTCAAACCGCTAACAGTCAGTGAGTTTAAGAACTCCATCGGATATAAATTATTCTTGTCATCTTCTGCTTCATCAAAACTGTAGTAAATTTTTTCCTCTCCACAGAATCTTTCAATCAACTGATCATTAATCTCGTCGACATGCTCATTTTTTGTTGTTAGTATCGCCCTTGAAATGATATAATCTGAAGCAGTCTCGCATGTTTGAAGAGAAGGAAATATTGCATCAATCAAAACATCCTTCGATTCATTTTTATTTGTGTAAGGAATGGCCATGTCATCAGGTATGCGAATGAAGTTTCCATCTACTGATTCTTCATCTCCATCGCCGACACGTAACAGAAAATCTAAAAACCATGGATCAGTAAGTGCTCTCATATTGATCGTTAACCACAACTTTTTAATCGAAGACCAAATAGGTGACATCCGTAAGCTTGAGTCTACAATCTGTGCTCGAGTGTCATGTCTCATTACTGGCAACACCTGTCTAAAATCACCTCCCATAATCATTATTTTCCCACCAAATGGAAGTCTCACCCCAGTGATGTCTTGCATTGTTCTATCGAGTGCCTCTACTGCCTGCCTCTTTGCCATTGATGCTTCATCCCAGATGATTATTTTTGTGACTCGAAGTAGTTGAGCAGTTCCGCTTTGTTTTTTTATATTGCACACTGAATTATTACTAAGAGTAAGGGGAATCTTGAATCAAGAGTGAGCTGTTCTCCCCCCTGGCATGTTGTTAGCGGCAGCACCGGATGAAGCGGTTGCGAGAGCAATAAGTCCACGGGAACGAACATTAGCAAGCAAAGCTCTATACAAAAATGTTTTTCCAGTTCCACCCGGTCCATCTACAAAAACACAGCTGGACAATCATTATCTACATGCCTCATGATCTCATCAAATGCATGTTTCTGGTCGGAATTTAGAGAGTTTCGAGCATTTAAGTCTTCGCCTTGCACAACTATGGAGTACTCCTCTTGTACCTCACGAAATCCTCGTGATTCTAAAGTGATAGCTGCATTTAAACTTGGAAGATCAAAATCATCGAGGTTTTTACCCATAGATTGTAAAAAGACGACGATGTCTGTAAGAACCATATTTCGGACTCCCTCAACATTTTCGTAGTCTCGTCTATAATCTTCAGAGAGTGAATCATAATGTTCATCCCATAACTTGCGAACATCTCCCGGCTCACAATAAATCAAGATCGTTGCGAATAATCGTCTAAGAGCATTGGGAAACTGAAATAAGGAGGCATCGGCAAGACAATGTGATAAATTATCATCGGTCTCTATTAAACCTCTCTCAAGTGTTGCTTTGCGAAATGTTGGATGTATTATGCCATTAACCGTGTAAAGATCTTCAAAGCACGTGGGCCCACTAATATGAGACAGAAGTAGGCGTAGATAATATCGTTCTCCTTCGGCAGGATTAGCATGAACCAATCGTCCTCTCATTGATCCATGTTTTCGAGGATTCCATTTACGTGAACTGGCATTCCATGTGTAATGTTTCGGAAAATCTTTGTATAAATATTGTCTCGCACTCATATCTRTTTTATTCCTCTCAAAAAATGCGGTTAACATTGAGCTCTTGTCTCTCTCTCTCTATCAACGATATCTGTCATTATATCATTCTCTCTGAACCTAACCAGCTGCTTATTCGGAAGATGGACCTGCAAAGCCATCACACAAGGGTGGATTTGAGAAAGTGGAAAGCTAAAAATCCTCCAAATTGCCTCAGGTGGCGAAACATATCGTGCATCTTGAAATCTCTTTATCTCATTGACAATGACCTCTTCTGTATCAGGATCGACATGAATAACCTGTTTGTCATGACCCTTGTAAACATATTTGAACACATACTTCACAGATATTATACTTGAGCAAACCTCAACATTGATGTGACAGTTAAACATCATTAGCAACTTTGGATTATATGGGACCACCCATCTATTATCAAGGATATTGCCCCGGACGTTCACCTCTATTCCATTGTTTCTCCTCCGATACATCGGATATGAGTTATCTGTCTGCATCGTCTTGTCGTTGGATTGTTGAAGATATCTAAAACGACATTTTCTCGGCTCACCTTCCATACAAGGGCTAGACGGTCGTAAATGGCCGTAAGGACCATGCATCATGTGCTTTATCACCAGCTCGTGCATTTCAGGATACTTTGTCGGGTCCAGGATTTCAGCACAAACTATATTGTCGTAATGGTATGGGTTTGTAATCTTGTGTTCCGGTTTCATTATCATGAGGATATGTGCATATGGCAAACCACGTTTTTGAAACTCGATGACATAAACATATGCCCTAACCTCGCCAAGGATGTGCTTCTTGAAGAGTTGATTTTTAAGATCCTCTAATTTGGCACGAAAAATTCTTGCAACAAGGTCCGGCCTATCTTGCGCGGTTTGACCAGGCAATAACTCTTTAAGGATTTCAGGCCACTTCGGATTACACGTCATGGTAAGGAATATATCGGGTTTTCCGTCATCTTGAACTAAAGTCATAGCATCCATAAATCTTCTTCGCATATCACATGGACCTCCAATAAAACTTGCATGAAGCACAACCCGTTGTCCAATTCTACTTGGTTGAACCTCACCGGCATTGACGCAATCCACAACACCTTGGTATAAGTATGATCTTATCTTCGTTTGATTCCTTTCAATAAAAGACAAACATGTAGTCTCTATCTTGATGTACATATCTACCACGAACTGTTGAAATAATCTTCCGCCTAATAGAATGACGTTATTACTCGACCGAATTTGGAACTTGTAACAATAATAATCTCGCATTGTTACAGTTTTCCTACACCTTCCTGAGTTAACCTCTGCATAGTATCGAATTTTGAATCATATAGATTAATAAATGAGTGAATAAGGTAAAATTATATGTGACAATGTTCATACCTTCATGATCTTCATCGAAGATTTCGTTGTCATTAACAATTTCATCGATGCACATTCCATGTCTGGGTATTCTAGCATGCCATCCAGACTCACCGTTGGGAAAAAACAAAGGATAAGACAAAGGATCATAGCAACCATAGTGATGTTCAATTTTTTTACTATAGTCAGACCTCCCATACACAACAATACTTCTCTTGTATGCAGTGATATTGTCATTGCCTTCCACCCAAATACCAGCAACCCGTAAAATGTTAGAATTTTCTTCAATACCATGCATATGATACATTTTATTATAAATGAGATAAAATAAGTACTTGTATTTCAACCTCAGATGTGGTCGGTCGGTTGTACACCCTCTGATCAAGTTCCACAGAAGCATTCAAAGTGACTCTATAATTATCGAGTGGTCCTAGCTCGGCAAGGCTTCGAAATGTTCTCACGTATGGATTTATAGAAAGAACACGAGTCAACATTTCAATGACGTTTCTATCAAGATTTGGCCATTGTAGTCTATGCGAAAGCTCAGATTCGGCATCATAAAAATAAAGTTGTAAGTACCGAGGGTGTCCATCCCTCGGAACTAACTGATCGATTCTATGATATATTCCCCCTTGAGCACGAAACGTATATACTCCAGATGTCATATTGCTCACTGTACTATCCAAAGTTACCCCCATTGACGTGAAGGAAAAGTTTGTGTTGTATGCACGAATATTGTGCCTAAACATTTCGCCTAACTCTGATTGCGTTGTAAATAAATTGTATAATTCTTCTGGAATGGGTGAGCATGCCAACTTTGTCTTTCCACTCATGCAACAAAAGGAGGGGAATTCAAATTCGAACCGCTTTGCTCCACAATGTTCACATGCATTTTGTTCCTTCAACACACGATGTTGTTTAGGGACACCATCATAAACAAAATTGTATGGATCCTCCTGTTGGATCTCAACATTTCTATTATTTTCCTTGTTTCGTTGATAATAGTTTTGGTTAGTAATTTTTCTCCTTTGAACGCCTAAGAAAGATATTTGGATACGACAAATAAATATTATTATTATAAAGAACTACGAAAGTCGAGTTCAAAAAGATTGAGTTCGAAAAGAAATACTAACTCATTGATTCTTGATTAACAGCTTCGTCAAAAAGAGGTAGCAATCTTCCATTCTTATTTATAACGCCTATGGAAAAAAACATGTCAATGAGTCTAAAGTTTATATGAACACCAAAGTTTCTAAAGTCTGTATAACCGGATGGTATTTACCGTTGACGTTTCGTTGATAATAGTTTCGATTAATAATTCTTCTCATTTGTGCAAAAGTTAGGTTACTGGTAGGAAAATAGAGAAGGTCCCTAAAAGTACTATGTGTATCTAAAAAGCATAAACATAGAAAAAGCTGTAAAGATTAGTTCAAATAGCTCTTTTCATCTTTATTACATAAACACATTGGCTAGAAGGTCCCTGAAAGTACTATGTAGTTCATATTTTATATTAATCAATAATTATATATTTATTTTTGCCACACACACACACATCTTTCAAAAAGTAAATGGTGGAGGTTGACAAACTTTCAATAAAAACAAAGCAGGTTGACAAACTTTCAATAAAAACAGACAGCAAGAAAAATGCATGGCCAATTGAAGTAATACGATATGTACACACACATAGAGATACGATATGTACCAAAGTTGAACGAACCAGCAAACAAACCCAAAACAGCAAACCCAAGTTGAACAAACCAACAAACAAACCCAAAACAGCAAAACCAAGTTGAACGAACCCAAAACAACAAATAAATGAAAGCGATAATGGGGAGCAATGTTACCTGAAATGCTTTCAAGTTGAACGATGCGGTGATGGAGAGCGAGTAATGACAAAGATGTAATGCAGCAGCCACTACTTAAAAGCACAAATATGTATAGCCAAGGATCAGGATATGAGCTAGATACATTAACATTTTGTTCACTGAATAGCAGTTCTTTTGGTAAACTGCAAGACTGAACTGCTAGGACAGAAATTAGTTTAGACCAACATAATCAATTAATTCTCATCTGCGCTGTGCTTAACACACCTTTTGGGCATAATGAACATTGAGGGAGTTGTTGGTCAGCAGTCAATTATGCATAATCATGCTTTACAACTTGTACATATGTGAAATGCTGCTTAAAGTGTTGTTGGGCAATGGTGCACAAATTATCAGCAGATTGCTGAAGCAGCTTTACAACTTCAACATCTGGTGATTGCTGCTTAAAATTGTTGAGTGATTACTGACCATCTTTTGCACATATGCATTCAGACTTCTTTTTTTTGAAAAAGGAAGTCTACACTTCACATATCGTTAACCGAGACTGAATTTATAAATACTTGTCAACTGGCATACCCCATTCTGTAGGGCCTAACCTTTTAGTAGCCTTGTTATTGGGCTTCATACACAGGTAGATTTACATGTTCAGTCTCAAAACCCAGGAAAGTTGGCAGATTTGCACTGGGAATAGGGTGTCTCATCAAGATATTCTTTTTATTGTCCAGAAATATTATATGTTTTCATTATTTTTGTGCAGCGCTATGTTGAGGCTCAATGTTGCATCACATCAAATGATTATAAAGGTTGGTCAAATTCTCCTCAACAAACTGTATTCTAATTTGGGATAATGGTAATGCAGGGCAACAAATTATTAAGAAAACATATAAAAGCAACCACTTCTTTTAAACCACTCGTAAATGAAAGCGATAATGGGGAGCGATGTTACCTGAAATGCTTTCATGTTGAACGATGCGGTGATGGAGAGCAAGTAATGACAAAGATGTAATGCAGCAGCCACTACTTAAAAGCACAAATATGTATAGCCAAGGATCATGATATGAGCTAGATACATTTAACATTTTGTTCACTGAATAGCAGTTCTTTTGGTTAAAAAACAGGGTATCATTTTAGTATCTAAAAAACGTTGTGAATGATAAAGTTGCTGGTTTATTGGTTATGTTTCTGGACAAAAAAAATTTCCAGCAAACCAAACCCAAATTAATAATCCGAACAATACTATATGTACACACACATAGAGATACGATATGTACCCAAGTTGAGAGAGTCACACATGACACATGTTTCAGGATTTAAAGTGTTGTGTATTTTTGCACAATGAAGGTTAACATTTTAGGATTTATGTGTTCTTTCCTTTCAAATCAAGGGATGCTCTTTTTAGCTTCTATGCAAAGGATTGTTTTTGAATAAGCTACAACATTCAGCTTGTAATGATGGATACTTTATATTATTCTCATGTCAGCTGATGTGCAGTGTGTGTTATGATCAGTCCTTATTGTGCTAGTATGGATGAACAAAATGGACAGACATCTCATTGATTTGCCACTTTTGCCCAGTTATTGTATGCTTTTTACATGAAAAACCATGATTATCACATTCTTTCTAACAATCGCTTCATAAATCCCTTATTCGTTTTTTATGAGCACTATTATGTCTGTAGTTCATCAAAGTACATGTTGATCAACCTTATTTGTATCCTTAAATGTTTCAATTTGCAACTAACTACTGAAATAAGCATTTCAGAAAACTAAGTAGGGATCAATCAATATTACTCAACTTGCATTATTAACTGGCTTTTCAGCACAGTTAGGGCATTATGCATCCGACAACTACTATGATTTTTGTGTATTAATATCCTTAAATGTTTCGATTTGCAACTAACTACTGAAATAAGCATTTCAGAAAACTAAGCAGGGATCAATCAAAACCCTAACCCAAATCAGCACAATCAAGACNTTCAGAAAACTAAGCAGGGATCAATCAAAACCCTAACCCAAATCAGCACAATCAAGACAATCAAAACAAACCCAAAACAGCAAATGGATAGCGGTGTTACCTGATGGAAACCAGTAGAAAACAGAGCGAGGGTGATAGAACGATGGAGAATAAGCACAAAGCGGTGAACGACAGAAACGTGTAGAAACTCCATTTTAAAGGAATCGTCATCTTGAATCGTCGTCTTGGGAGGAGCATTCTCGTCATCTTGAATCGTCGTCTTGGGAGGAGCATTCTCTGGAACGTCTTCTTGGGGAGGGGAGCCGGTAAATCGAAGCGACATATGGGGGTTTGGTGATCATTATTAGATAGGTAAAGGGGGAGGGGAGCCGGTAAATCGAAGGGACGTATGGGGGTTTGGGGATCATTATTAGATAGGTAAAGCAAGGTAAAGGTAAAGGTAAAGGTAAAGGGGTATTTTGTGTATTTACAAATTTAAGACTTTAAGACTTTGAGTGAAAATGCTTAATAAAGTAGTATAGATATATATATATATTCTCTCCACTCAATAATGATTTTTTTCTTTGCTTCCTTTCCTTCCACTCTCAATAAAATAAAATAATTTTTTTATATTTAAATGACAATCGCAGATGTTTGTTATAATTCTTACATTTGAATTTGAAAATTAAATAACTATTAACTTCCCTTATGATTCCTATTTGAATCTGGAAAAAATAATGAATAATGAAAATGGTATTTAATCATTTTTATTATATTATTGTACTTTATTACTTATCGAGATACATATATTGATAAATGATATATTGCTTTTGTAACACCCCCAAAATCCATACATTGCATATAATACATATTTCATATATAGAATACATGTTTTCCCCCACATAGGTCCTTGATACAAGAGTCTATAATGTAAAATACGCAACCCAAAAATTCCAAAAGTACATGCTCTTGCATCCTAGCATCTATGCTTCCAAAAGAGCTAAGCACATAGGGAAGTAATTCACATAATGCTTTTTCCCTTATTATCATTACATGCACACATATTTTGAAAACACGAAATGAGGGTTAGACATGAATGTCTAGTGAGATTATCTTTTATGTAATGCAGGGTGAAGATCACCAAAACATTTATCAAATAATCATTTCACAACATGCGGAATAAAATCAGATTCTGTTKTGGTCCATCGAGCCTCTGGTTCCAAACCACACTTGGAATATATTTCAATAACCAGGACCAAAGCCCCTATGGTCTCTCTTCTAGAGCTTCTGGTACCTCGACCAGAGCCCCTCTGGTTGCACTAACCAGAACTTCTGACTCATATAATTTCTTAAAATGGTCTTTAGTTAAATTTTCAATCAATAAGATAGCCTTTTTTCATAAAAAGAGTAATTATGAAGAGTTCATGTTCGACCAGAGCCTCTGGTTAAACAAACCAGAGCTTCTGGTTCCAAAAGACATGATCAACCAGACCCTTCTAGTTCAACATGTAAGCCAACCAAAGCTTCTGGT